CTCCAACTTCCTCCTCCTCCTTCACTTCGCCAATCTTATTCTTCTTCCAATAATAATAATAACAACGGGTGGATGAACCAGAATCAATGTCCGAAGTTCCCTCTTACTGCTGACATCACAATAGGTCCACCGTAGCTATGGCTTCCCCTCCTTCTTCCACCTCTCACATGCCTAGGCTATGGCGGACTACTGAGGGCTCTGCCCTCCTGTGCGAAGGACAACGCAAAGCAGCTATGTTGCTGCACTCCTGTCCAAAGGACAACCCAAAGCAGCTATGCCGCTGCTGACTAAGCCGCCATGCCTGACTCTGCCTCGAGCTTCCTTGGTGCGGCACTACCCCAACTGGGGCCTTCCAGATGCAGCGCCCAACAAGGTGATGAAGATGGTGTCCGCCACAGCCAGGTAGGTACCTCGCCACTCTCCTCCTTCGCCCCCTTCTTCCTCCTCCTCAGGCTGGGCTGCTCGCCATAGCCAGGCTGAGCGCCCAGCTGCTCGTCACCTCCAGGCAGCGCTGCCCAAGTCCAGCGCTTGGCTCCAGCAGCATGTCGCCAATCCTTGCATGCCGTTAATGAGCGGCCTACTGGCCTCTTGGGCAGTGACTTCCTAGGCCGAGCGGCCTCCCAGCAACCGGTACCTCCTCCCTTTCGGAGGGAAACATCATTGCAAGCTCTGCTATCGTCCGGACAGGCCCTAGACTCAGGCTACTTGGACTGGTACCGGCCTACCTCTAACCTACTGCTACTGGGCCTCTAAAAATGCCAACTTTTTGTCTTCTTCTGCTCAGCCTCCAGTACCCGACACTTCTACCACTACTTGAGTGGTACCGGCCTACCTGCTACTTGAGTGTTTTTCCCCGCTGCTCTAAGTGTCGCGGGCTTACCCCCGCTATTTGAGTGTTTTCCCCGCTGCAACCCTCAAAGTCACGGCCACATGTAAGTCCCGGCCCTGCGGGGCCTTTCAACCAACAAGTACCCTTGCGGGTCACACACACACTCAGCCGACAAGCACTCAGACAGGCACGCAACCACACACACACAGGCTTGGAAACCACAGCAGAATGTGGGAATCTCAGCAAGGCATTCATTCCAGCGGCAAATCCCAGAAATCAGCAGTGTTCTCAGTCTGTGTTCTGGCGGGTCATTACACTAATATATATTTTGGGACAAAAGCTCCAATCTCTTCGTGGGGAGCAGCACGTGCTGGGAAACGGGCCGAGCGTTCCATATGAAATTACAAGCACTGAAATACTGGGACCGATACCTGCCTTCACCTGAGAGAATCTGAGAAATTTTAGAAATATCTGAGTAAACTGCCAGCCTGTTAAAACCAGCTACTCGTGAGAAAAGTTAGAAAACCTCTTTTTGCGAGCAAGCTGCGAAAATTAAGAAAACCATCCTCCCACTTCCCAACGAGGGGCTGTGACAAACTCTTTCGTCGGAGTTTCACTGACTCATCAGGAGGCTGAACCCTAACTGTCTGCAGAATCCCCTAACTGATTACATTGTAAGTGATAATCCACCTTAACCCCGGCTGTGGTTAAGCATCAACTACTGCCCGACAACTGATACCAACCACTGCCCTCAAGGCAGACTATCACAGCAGACTATCAAAGCAGACTATCAATCACCCACACCAGATGGAAAACCATCTACAGACTGTCGGTTCACACCCCATCACAAGCAAGCAAAAGACCCACGAAACAAAGAAAGGTCTGTCACAGCCAAAAAATACACTCCAGACATGTCGCTGGCACTAGAGGCACAGCATGGCCGCGTAGTGATGGCTGCGACCCCTGCCGCTCGACCTGACCAGAGAAAATCGTAGCAGGGTGCTAGCGAACTTGTGATATATATAGTCAAACAGAGCTGCCTGATAAACTGTAGGCAGAGAGGGAGAAGAGGACAACAAACGAGGGGCTGTAACAAACTGTTTCGTCGGAGTTTCACCAACTCAACAGGTGGTGGAACCCTGATGAGTCGGTGAAACTCCGACGAAACAGTTTGTCACAGCCCCTCGTTTGTTGTCCTCTTCTCTCTCTCTGCCTACGGTTTACCGGGCAGTTCTATTTGTGACGATATATATATTGATGAAGTCAGTATGTGCCCACTAGGTGAGATTCCTGATCTTTTTTTTTTTTTTTTTTTTTCCAAAGTCCGATAGCCTTGAGATATCAGCAACCAACTGACCAACCCCAGGGAATTCAATAGTTAAAACCACCAGTACTTTTCATTGGCGAATTTCGGAGGCACGGCCATGCACACGTGGCACCCTTCGTGATGTACCGGCCTGCCGAGCAGTGGAAAATGTGTCAGGCCGTTGTGTGCATGGCCTCATTTTGCCTGGATGAATAGTGCCCGCCTTGGAAGGCCACTGCATCCCCGAAGGACGCGGCCCGTTTGCATGCCGCTTTGGAGAAATTTGGCTGTGAAAGTACTAGTGGTTCAATAGGTCTTCATTTGATTCCTGTGAGCTGTTTTTTTTTTTTTCCCCCCCTTCTGTTCTGTTCTTTTTTTGATTCCTGTTAACTGTTGCTTCTGACCATAGAGTGGTTTTGAGGTTCATCCGTCACCAAAAGACTTCTGCTTAAACTAGCAGGACCTCTCTCTGTCACCGTCTTTCGACTCCATCGTATTCAGCCACGAATTGTGTGGGCTTGGCGCGCCGGACCTCTTTGGCTGGCAGCACCAGCCTAAACCAAAGAAAAAAGTGCAGCGCCAATTTGTTTTTGATTTGGCGCGCAGCACAAATCTGGGTTTGGAAAAAGAGGCTCGCAGTTAAAGTTGATTTTTAAGTGGATTTTTGGACGTAGACGATAAAACAATTCAGAGGAACATGTGATCGCTGTCTGAGCACCAAAGCTACCGACGTCACCCAAATAGAACGCATGGTCATTATCGCTGTATCTGGACTGGAAGTTGCGCTGAAACGGTTCTCACCTTATCAGTAGCAGATGCAGATCCCAGGGCTTGATCCCTAGACCTTACCACACCCGTGTACAGGATCGAGTCGAACCCTGTGTGTTTGAACCAGTGACCTGTGTTTTGATAGTTGACTGTTGTCTGTCGTAGGTCTGTGTAGCTGTAGCGGTTCGATCTGTAGGTCTGTCGACTAGGGGTTACAGCTGTGTAGAAGTCGTAGCTGCTACAGTCCTGAAGGGTCAAGGTCGTAGCTGCTACAGTTCTGAAAGGCCAAGCCCACAGACTTCCGGAAGGTCTGGCAGTGGAATGTTGCTCACAGCAGACCAGAGGCAAGTGGGCAAGTGGTCAGTCCAACCTTGCATAGTCAGCGGTACCCAGTCCCAGTCTCACTTAGTCCAGTCAGCAAGTACCATGTGGGACTGTGTGCAGTATGGGTCGGTGGAAAAGGGGCAGACCAGCGACCAACAGAAGTATAAATCAAGAGGCAGCGTCCAGGCATTCATTCATTCTGCTGCGAGCCATGCGGAAGCGCTGCCAGTGCGTCTTGTGCGAGGTGGTCTGCAGTTGCCCGAAGACAAAGTGGGCTGGAAGGAAGACAGAGCGGCCATAGCGGCTAGTCGTACTAGGAATAGCAAGCAGCCATAGCTGCGCGAGCATAGAGTAGTCTTCAGTGTGTATGTGTATGCGTGTGCGGTGAGAGTGTGCGTGTGGAACATCCAGTGAGATCCAGTGAAGTGTGTGTGTGAACAAGTTGTAAGGATACAGGGATGAGGGGATGATGTAAGAGCGCACATGCGCCATAGTCACTTAAAGCGAGTTTGTATCCGAACTGTGTTCTCACCTGTAATATCTCCGAGCTTTGTGTGTGGGCGCCTAGTGCCAGTGTGCTTTGCCATCTGTCTACAAGCATGCGAAGTGAGGAGAAAGCGAGTCTGATTGCAATTGGCATCAGAGCAGGTTACCGTTGTCCAGGCGCGACGTCGTCATCAAGAAGAAGTGCCAGCAGGGCGCCACGTCAGCAGGGCGCCACGTCAGCAGGGCGCTATCGAAGGAGGTTGCCATAGCCGCGCTGTCCCAGGCTTTGCGCACCTGCACACAGAACGACGAGAGAGAGAGAGAGAGAGAGAGAGAGAGAGAGAGAGAGAGAGAGAGAGAGAGAGAGGAGTGATACAAGATTGGTTGTGTGACCCGCTGACGAAGGTGGCGGCCATAGCCGTCGAGCTCGGACATACGAAGAAACATAGGAAGACGAAGAAGACCAGAAGAGGATAAGGAAGTTAACCGGAGGAGGAAGGACAGACAAAGAAGGGGGTGAAGAAGAAAGAGATGAGGGATGAGAAAGAAGCCATAGCCGAGGGTGAAGGAGGAGGAAGGAGGAGGAAGGTGAAAGAAGGTGAGAGAGAGAGGGTTGGCAGCCATTCCCAGTGTTGACCAAGGCACTTAACAGCGTTGACCAGGGAGTTTACCAATGTTGATCGGAGTGTTTACCAAAGTTGACCGGGTGTTTACCAGCTTTGACCGGGGTGTTTACCAGCATTGACCGAGGAGTTGACCGGGACGTTGACCAGCGTTGATCCAGGGGTTGACTAGGGCGTTGACCGGAGCTGTTGACCACGAAGTTGACCAAGCTGGAGTTGCTATACTCTCGCCAAGCCTTCAGCCTATCCCCTTGCCCTATGGATGTGCACTCACCCCATGGTACTTGTTGAGTCTGTCTGTCTCTTCTTTCTACGTTGAGTCTCTTCTATCCAGGTTATAGGAACTCCGTGCATGAGGTCGTAGAGCTGCGTTGACCAAACCCACACGGGCTGAGTAGGGCTAAAGGCTGTGTCTGACGACTGGCTGACCCGGAGGACAAACCCTCCCAAGGACCGGTACAGACCGGCGGGCTGCTCAGTGTGGCACGGTAGGCCCAAAATCCAAGTTGTGGGCTGCACAACCAGCTGAGAGGACTTGCTGATCGCGTCTTCCTGTTTGCGACGTTAAAAAATTCCTGAGGAGTTAGGGGGGATCTCCTGAAATGCCTCCTGATCAGCACTGAAGTCCTGTAGTGACATCCTAGTAGTAGATTCAGGTTAGAGACCATAGTTGACAAGGTCCTAAAAGGATTATGTGGTCCTTAGAGAGTCAGTTGCTAAGTTGAGGCAGTTAGGGGGTGGAAGTCTAAGTGGTGGGGAGTAGAACTGTCATTTAGTTGTGCACCTTTCACCATGGTGGACACGCGAGGTGGTAAGAGCACCACCCCATACACGAAAGAGCAGGAAGAGAGGGTCACCGCCATACTGAAGGAAAGAAAGGAGGAGGCCAAGAAGCAGACCCTATTGGAGGAGCAAGCGGCGAAGAAGAAGAAGCTCGAAGAAGAAATGGAGAGGTTGAAGAGGGAAGAGGAGGAGAAGCTCAAGGAAGTAGAAGAAGAAGAAGAAGAAGGAGAAGAGATGCCCCTGGTACAGAGTGTGAGGAGAGAGGAAAGAGGGGAATCCAGTGGGATTAGTGAGGAGAAAAAAATGGAGAAGATGGTGTCTGAATGGGTGGCCAACTTCTCCTTGGGGGAAGATGAGGAGGCGTTGATGTACATTCCCCAGGATGAGAGGGATGCTGCTGTGGCAGAAATACAGGCCCTGACCGATCCCTTACAACGACATGTCCAGGAAGAGGAAAAAAAAATGGAGTGGAAGTTGCGACTAAGGAGGCAGAGGAGAAGGCGCATTGAAGCGACGACAGAGTTAGAGAAGGAATTGGCTGCCACAACAGAGTAGCATGCCAATGCGCCGGCCCAAGGGAACTTACAAAGCAAAGTGGATGCTATTGCAAGGAGTAGATATGTGCTTATTCGCGCCCAACAGGAAGATGCATTCCTCAAGGGGCCATGACATAGCCCTGCAGTCCATACGAGTAGGTTTTCGAGACTTTGCTCACAATATGATGATGCGTATGGGCTCTGAGGTGCAGGCTCGAATGAAGAACACGTAAAAATTATGTGTTGGCGCTATAGATGGCGCCAAGCTTGCGGTCCCAAAGGAGGAGGAGGAACGCCCGCGTGGGGAAAGTGTTAAAGTAAAGTTTCCTGATGCCTACAACGGGAAACATGGAGAAAACTTTGATAATTGGGAGGCAAACATCAACTCCTACGTGCACCTCCAGGATATTATCCCCGAGGAGCAAGTCCTTGTCGCATTCCATGCCCTAAGAGACGAAGCGTCTAGTTTCGCCAGGTCGTTAGCCCGCGCTGCCAAGTGTGACAATGACATGGTGGCGTATTCCACCATCACTCCCCTCAACGAATTCCTCAAGTTACTTTGCGAACGTTTCGCGGATGTAACTAAGGGAATCAAAGCATCAGACAAGCTCCAAACAATCCACACACGTAAGTGGAAGAGTGCAAGGTCACTCAAGGGTGCCATGGATGAGCTTGTCGCAGTCCCTAGCCATGGGTCACTAAGCCACAGTTGGTTCAATTATTCTATCGTGCGATGCCCGAGAGTTTGCACGGGCACTTCTATGAGAAGTCGCGAGAGCAAGGGATGGCCTATGATAAATTGAGTTGCAACGTTGTTGCTTATGAGGCCCAGTCCACGCCTGTCACTGCCTTTTGGCATAGAGATCTTGACAAGGGTAAGAAGTGGAAGGGCCAGACCATTTCAGGGCAGGTTTAAGAGAAAGATAGCCTGATCCTGACGTTAGATGAGGGAGGAATGGAGGAGGTCCCGTATAGTGAGATTGAGTGGGGCCTCGAGGAGGAGGACAGGAGTGTGGGTCAGGGGAGGACCTATGCTGCTTCCGCGGCTGGAGGGAGGCCGCAAGGAAGAGGAGGAGGCCGGGGCCAAGGGGGCCATGCCTCTGGTGGTTGAGGGTAGGACGATCAGGGGGTTGGCGGCAGGGGAAATCGCCAAGAGGGAGGCAGGGATCAAGGTCCCCCGCAAAACCGTCCTCGTTCCAATCGATCACCTCCCAAGAGGGGTGGATGGCACCCTGGCTTGCAACAAGGCAGGCCCTGGGAAGATCTGGGCCTTGATTAGAAAGTATGGCAGAAGAGGATAGACCAGGATCAGTGCATCTATTGCGGTTACCCAGGGCATATTATTAAATACTGTCTTAAATATAGAGAGGCCCGGTATGCTGCGCAGGCCGCAAAAGGCAACCGCCGGTAGGGGTCGCAAGCCCTTACCCCTAGACCATGTGGAGAAGAGTGTGCACACCACAGAGAAACTCCCAACCCACATGTGTCTATGGCAGAGGTTACCGGCCAGTGCCTAGAAAGTTGTCTAGAGACTGCTTGCGTTAGGGTCTCTCTAGGCACTTCCCCCACATGCGTGGCATAAAAATTGAAGGAGAGAACGCCTGCCTAGGCCAAAGATGAAGAAGGATGGAAAAGGACAACTAGTATTAGCAGATGTAGAGGTTCTTAGAGGCAGAGTAGGGGCCCTTATAGACAGTGGGGCCACATGTGGCTATATCAGCCGTAAAGCGCTACAGAAGCTGAAGCTGAATTTGAAGGTCCAAAAGTTGGAGGAACCTATAGTCAACATCCTTGCAGACAATTGCACGATGGGAGTCAAAGATTATGTTGACAGAGTCCAGACTTATTTCCCCCTAGAGAAAGAAGAGAAGGTAGAGAGAGTTTTCCATTCTCTGACTCTCCTCGTAGAAGATAACCTCCCTTTTGATATAGTTCTAGAAATGGACTGGGGAGAGGCAGCAGGGGCCACACTCCACTTGAAAGAGCATGAGTGTAGGCTCCCTAGCCCATCAGGTGAAGTCAATACTGCTCACCTGTTCCATGTGTCAGGGATAGATAACCCCTTAGCACATTGCTGCCTCAGCGCTCCGGCGTTCGCAAGATTAGTGAAGACAGAGCAACTTGAAGAACATGTCTTCGTAGCCTATGTTAGGCCAGTCACTGAGCCTAAAACCGAAGAGTCTATAGACCCTCGTATTGCCAAGCTGCTAGAGGAGTATGCAGATTTGTCTGAGCCACCTACAAGAGTAGTATCGGGGCCGATCCAACATCGTATTGACATCGAGCCTGGCAGTAGAACTCCCAAAGGAGCTGTGTATAGAATGTCCCCATGGGAGTTAGAGGAGTTGCGGAAGTAGTTAGACAAGCTCCTTGAGAAGGGTTGGATTAGGCCCAGTTCGTCTCCTTTTGGAGCACCTGTTCTGTTTATCTCCAAAAAGGAGGGAGAGTTAAGAATGTGCATTGACTATAGGGGTCTCAACGCCATCACAGTGAAGAACGCAGAACCACTGGCCCGTATAGATGATTTGTTAGATCGGGTGCAGGGATGCAAGTACTTCTCTAAGATAGATTTGAAGGCAGGCTATCATCAGATAGAGGTTCATCCTGATGATCAGCACAAGATGGCGTTCATGACCAGATATGGGCACTATGAGTTCATAGTGATGCCCTTTGGACTAACCAACGCGCCAGTTATGTTTCAACTCTGTATGAACGATGTTTAGGCCGTGGTTAGATAGATTTGCAGTTGTATATCTAGATGACATTCTAGTGTTTAGTAAGACCCTCTAGAAGCATGAGGGCCATCTGAGTCAGGTCTTGGGGAAGCTGAGAGAAACTAACTTCAAGATCAACGCGAAGAAGTGTGAGTGGGGGAAGACACATGTTTTATACCTGGGCCACGTTCTAGATGGAGATGGCATAAAGCCTGAGGACAGTAAGATAGCAGCGATTAGAGACTGGCCAACTCCTTGCACGCTGATAAAGTTGCGGTCGTTCCTAGGGTTGGCAAATTACTATAGAAAGTTGGTCAGAAACTTTTCCACCATCGCTGCTCCCCTTCGCAGGTTTTTGAAGAAAGAGGCAATCTGGATGTGGGACAAAGAATGTACATCAGCCCTGGGAAAGTTAAAGCGGGCCTTGATAGAGTCCCCAGTTCTCAAGGTAGCCGATCCGTTTCTGCACTTCGTTGTTACCACTGATGCAAGTGATTATGGTATAGGTGCTGTTTTACAGCAAGACGATGGCAATGGATATAGACCCGTAGGGTTCATGTCTGCTAGAATGCCTTCGGAAAAGGTAGCGACATCCACCTATGAGAAGGAACTCTACGCTCTCACACAAGCATTAGATCACTGGAAGGACTACTTGCCTGGGAGACACTTCAAAAGTATATTCAGACCATGAGACGTTAAGGTGGCTGAAAACGCAGGCCAATATGACACCTAAGCTTACTAAGTGGGCTGCAGAGATAGATCAATACGACTTTGAGCTCAAGCCGGTCAAGGGGAAATACAATGTAGTTGCGGACGCCTTGGGTAGGAGAGCAGGCTACTTTGGAGTAATAGTACATTATCTGGATATAGGGAGAGACCTGCAACAGAAAGTCAAGGAAGCGTATGCGCATGACCCTATTTATAGCGACCTCCTCAAAAGAGTTAAGGAGGCTCCAGAATCGGAACCAGACTACCACACTATACATGGGTTACTGTTCGAGAAGACTAACGTAGTGGACCTATTGTGCGTTCCTAACAGTGAAGAGATCCGAAGTCTGATCTTTGGGGAATGTCATGCTACAGAGGGACATTTTGGTTGGCAGAAAACATTAGCCAACCTATTGTGCGCGTATACTTGGCTTTGGTATGAAGGCCGACTGCTTGGAGTATGTACGCAGTTGTAAAGTCTGTCAGAGGAATAAGACTACTACGCGAGCCCTTCTAGGTCTTTTCGGACCCTTGCCTATTCCCGAAGGACCCAAAGATTCCGTGTCCATTGACTTTATGGATGCAAGCGTCAGGAGTAGGCATGACAAGAACCAAGTCATGGTCATAGTTGATAGGTTTAGCAAATATGCGGTTTTTGTTCCCTTGCCCTCAGAGGCACGCACAGATTTAGTGATACGAAAGTTCTTTGATCATTGGGCCAGTGACCATGGGCTACCGCTGTCTATAGTTAGTGACAAAGATACCCGGTTCACTAGTCAGAACTGGCAGGGACTAATGAAAGTCTACGGGTCTAAGTTGCTAACGTCATCTGGGCGTCATTCAGAGACCAACGCTCAGACTGAGCAGAGGAACAAAGTCCTGCAGCAAGTTCTGAGAATGTATATTAGACCCGACAAGTTAACTGGGATGATATGGTCCCAAAGGTAGCCAGCGCATACAACAATAGCGTGCACTTAGCAACTTGTTGGACTCCCAACGAACTGCAAGTCCTTAAGACCACACAGACCGTTTGAGGGACTTAACCGCGATCAGATTCAGAGGCTACTGCCCGGTACTAGGGAATTTGCGATACAGCATGAAAGGGAGATTGCTACAGTAGTTGAGAACCTCAGGAAGGCCCAACACTGAATGATAGAGCAAGCCAATAAGCACCGTCGCCCTTCACAGTTGCAAGTAGGCGACTTAGTCTGGGTCAAGTCTAAAGAGTTTGCTCCTGAGGAGAACATCTCACAAAAACTGTTACCTGCGTACAGGGGACCGTGGCCAGTCCTAAAAATCAAGGGCAGAGAAGATGGACCGTCCTACACAATAGAGATTCCAGCACACCTCCACACCTACCCAGTTTTTCATGCATCAAAGTTGTTGCCTTGTACCACAAGTCAACAGTTTCCATCACGGAGGTCTATGATCCCCCCGGACATGGATGGAAGGTACGGCATTGATCGCATAGTAGGTGAGGATG